AGACTGAGCATTTCATTTTTAACTTTTTACCGATGTTAACCTTTGATTAGCACAAACCCACTTGAACAGCATCTGCCTTTATTCTTTGAACACAATTACAGTCCCAGTGCTCTCAATTCATCACATACAAATCCTTTAGTGAACAAAATACCTAATGTTATTGGTAAAACTTCTGTGGTTATATATACTCAGTGCTCAGCTTGTTCTAGTCCTGAGTCTGCTCTCTTCTGTAGATGAAGTTAGGTGAGTATAAAGCGCTCTGGGATCAGTAGGGTGTTCCTGGATTTCATTTTAAAGGTTTGGCAACCTTAGTCTACACATTCCAAGATCAATTTTTCATTTAGAGTCAGATCATTTTTATATGTTGTGTAACAGAAATAGCTGCCTGGATTCTGGGAGAAATGTTCAGGTCTGATATTAGGCTACACAGTACATTGATGAATTATCTTTCTGGTGTATCTGTTAACCTCCCTAGCGGTCTGATTATGTCAGTATTTCTGTGCTCAAAGTGGTACATTGTTTTCAATGGAAATATATTGTTTTTTTATTGTAGGCCTGTAATTTTTAGGAATAACTCACTGAAATCTGTCCAAACAAGAGTCTAATAAACATCCCGGGCATGATAAAATTTGAAACACGAAATCATAAATTATAATATAATAAATAATTATAAAAAATAATATAATAATAAATTTAATTCAATAATGTAATCAAACCAAAAACACTGAATTATGAAATATAGCGCCAAGTTTGCACAGCACTGAGCTTAGTCGCAAAATCGTTTTCAGTGTCTGATGACAAATTTCCCCACGAATCATTATCACTCAATTCTGCAAGTGGTTCTGATTTACTATCGCTGTTCTCTAGCTGGTCTAAAACCGCTTTTGACCTAAAGGGATGCTTCTTAGACGCCATGGACGTTTCTCAGTTTCCAGGCAGAAAGAACGGTAAAAATGCAGGCAGGGCACAGGACAAAATGTATGTGAAATGGTTTGATACAGTAAATTAATACTATCAGATTTGAGTGTATTGAGTGAATGTCAAATCTTTTCATTTTTGAAATTCCCGCCGGTTCCATCCCCGTACGTCCTGACGCTCACAGGGAACGGAACCCAGATGACAGATGCCGGCATCGGCTGGAGGACATGGCCGGGGATGCTGCAGGGGGGACATCGCGGGACCGCAGGACAAGGTAAGGCTTGAGGGATTCCTGAGCAACGCTGCAGTGTAATCCCAAGTGTATCTCGGGGTTACCGCTTCTGGTACTGAAACCTAACCCCAAGCTACACCGCCAGGGTGGTTAAAGCCTAATTCCATCTGTCTGTCACTTTAAAATAGTTTGTGTGGACCAAGCTGGTCCACACAAACTATTTGGCCTCATGCACACAGGATGCTTTTGCAGCTGCTCCTAGGGGTATCAGGTATTTTTTTTCTTGTCTGTAAACTCCCCTCCATGTTTGCCTATGTCTCCATGCACACATAGATTTTTAGCAGCATTTAGTTGCAGTGGGGTTTAGAGGCAGGAAAAAAGAAAACCTCTGCCAGTGCAGCAGAAAAAACAATTGACGCTTGTAAATGCGTCTAAATGCGCATGAACGCCAGGTGCGTTCAGCGCTTGAGCGTTAATTCATTTCAAGGGCCAGAATAATTTATTCTGGCTATTGAAATAAATTAACACCCAAGCACTTGATGCCTGTAAATGCACCTAATAATATGTAAAAGCGTTAGACACTTTTTCTGCAAAAACACTGCTGGCTCCAAGGAGAGTTAAAAAAAAGTCTTGTGTGCATGAGGGCTTTACTAGGAGATATGGCCACTGGGAGTACTGTATAAACAGTATGTAACATCAGCTATAAACAGTGTACAGTGCTGCGTTTTGGCAGCAAGATGGGGACTTCCCATCCACTTGTGGAGAAACATCTAGTCGGGCTGAACACTGCTCCGCCATTCGCAGGAAGTCTTATATTTTCTGAATGAATAAAAGGATTCCTGTGATTGGCTGGAGATTGGCATGATGACGTCATCATCTCCACCTCAGCCAATCAAAGGAAGCTCTGTACTTATTCAGAAAATACAAAGCTTCCTGTGACTGGCTGAGTAATGCTCAACCCAACTTTATTTTGTTTCGAAAGAAGGACAGGAAATCCCACTGCTGGAATGCAGTGCTGTACACTGTATATAGCTGATGCCACATACAGTTTATACAGCACTAGGTAATAGTTTGTTTGGACCAGCTTGATCTAAATAACTAATTTTAAAGTTACAAAAAGCTTGACTTAGGCTTTAAAGTGGAACTAAACCCTCCTATTTTTTATGGCCAAGAAAGCCGCCACCTTGGCATTTGTTTGATTTTCAGTTGCAGTGCTGCTACACATATGATCAGTTCCCGCACCATCAGTGCTGGATTACCAAATAGGAAGAGTAAGCACCGGCCTATGGACCCCACATCATCTACAGGCCCCACAACAACAAATCAAAATAGTATTGATTTGATTTTTAAAAAATTATGATAAAGCTTTATTAAATTGTTTACAAAACATAGTAAAAAATGAAACTCAATGAAACAAAAACTTTACATTAAAGACTCTATAGAGAAAATACTGTGCTAACCATTTGCTGTCCAGCCACAGTACATTCACTGCAGCAGGGCAGCAGGTGCAGGCATAGTCAAGTGTATAAATACGTGATCTGTCCTGTTTCAGGTTAGAATCGTGCAACGCGCCCCCTCCTGTGACCACTGTATCCACTGGGGACAGCGGGTTACTGTTACTTGTAATTGGTAACCGGGAATCATGTGATCACTATGATTGATCATAGCAATCACATGATAACAATGTTAACAACCTGTTATGAATGACTTTTCATCCATGAACAGCTTGCTTACTATTGTGATCTGTGATTGGCCCACATCACTCTCAAGGTTCCTGGCTACCTGTACTATGTGATTAGCTGTAACTAATCACAAATCACAACCATAAGCAAGCTGTTCATGAACGGGAAACCCATTAATGACAGCTAAAACTATTGCTTGTACAGTGATCATCACTAAATAAGTAATAACAATATTGAAAAAATCCCTGATCACCCCCCAGAGTACTACAGTGTCACTATAGTGACACTGAGCTACTCTGATGACAGGATGTGCAAAAAAAATTGTAAAACAAAAAAATGTTAAAAAAAAAAAGGTTTTAAAAAAATTGATTAAAAAGTTATTAAACTTTTTTTTTTACGTACTGTCATCCGTTAGTATCCCTGATCACCATGATGGTGATGCTTGTAATTAGGTTGAAATGCTGGTTAGTGAGACAGCTGCTGCCCCGGCCAGGAGGGAACAAGTTACCCAGTTTACTGCAATTTTCTTGGCTCTGCCTTTTTTCCTATTTGCTGTTAATAAAAAGGGGGGGGGGGGTCTATCCAGACATGGGAGAGAAGACACAGCCAGTAAGATGTGATCTCCAGTTGCTGCTTTTGCCGGAGAACCCTGTCCTGCTCTAGAGTTCCTGCTGCTAGGTCCTGTTCCTGTTTTCAGCCACTCACCTGCTTCCAGGACCCGTCCGCAATGTAGGTGGGGCTGCGGAGAACCGTAGTTTGCCCTGAAGAATGAAATCTCACCAGTGCGGGTATGCTGGGGCAGCCATAAGCCTGAGTTAGGGATTAGGGTAGATAGGAAAAGACTGTACTTTGTTTGAAACTGGTATGCCAAGAATTTTGAGGAAAAGCTTTGAAACGTCGTCTATGACTGGTCTGTATGTGGGTGTATTCAAGTAATTCGCACACATGGTCTACAGCAGGGGCGGACTGACCATTTGGAAACTCGGGCACTGCCTGAGGGCCCAGGGTCAGTAGGGGGCCCCATGACATACCCCTGGTACCTTTTTCATAGGCTTTTTTGAGTTTGGGCAAGGATACAGGGGCCCCATGATCCCCTATTGCCCGGGGGCCCCATGAGTTGTCAGTCCACCCCTGGTCTACAGCTTGGCTCAGTAAGGACATTGGGATATGAAAACAGCAAGTGGTTAGCAAGCAGTCTCTCATGAAGCGTGTACCTGTGACAGGTAGGACATCCTCATGTAGCAAGGGATTTATCTCCCCTGGTGGTCCGTCTCGCATAGCAATGAGAGAAGATCAGTGCTCAGAGGTTCTCAGCTTGTGCACTAGTTATGGAAGAGCAAGAGGTGAGTGAGTGTCCACGCTAGGCGCATGGAGTGCCCCTCCTGAATGCAACACTTTCAATAGTAATGTACATTGATTAAAAAAGGGGTCATTTGGGTGGTATTTGTACTGTCCTGACATATTAAGGCCTCAAGAAATTAGATAGGCCGTCAGTACATCAGGACTGATCAATTTTTAAATATATCTACCATAGTTTGTGGACACTATAACTTTCACACATACTAATTAACATTGAAGATCTTTTTATTATTTTTTTTTTTTTACTAAAAATGTAGCAGAATGCATTATGGACTATAATAATAATGGCCTACATTTATGAAGAAATTTGATTTTATTGGATATGTTTTAAAACAGAAAGTAGAAAATACCTGTTTTAATCAAAATTTTCTGTCTTTTTTCATTTGCATAGCACCCAGTGGTGATCAAATACCACTTAAAAAAAGCTCTATTTGTGTAAAAAATGATATAAATTTCATTTGCGTACAGTGTTGCATCACTGTGCAATTGCCAGTTAAAAGTAGCGGAGTGCTGAGTAGCAAAAAAAAAGCCCCGGTCATAAAGGGGGTTAAACCCTTCCAGAGGTCAAGTGGTTAATGTAATGTCTCCTATATCAGCTTATAGTACATAAGCCATAGACATCAGGATCACATTAAAGTTTGTTACTTAAAAGCTCATCATCTTTCAGCTGTCAGTTTGTAAAAAGATTTGGTGCTACCTATGTATGTGAAATGTACAGTATTGATGGTCATCTCCATCTAGTGGCTGACATGCACAGTAGTTAGTTCCACATTCCCCCCACTTGAGCTCACGCTAGAGAAACCTCTAGAGTCATAGAATGGGGGGCCAGGGGCAGACTGACAACTCATGGGGCCCCTGGGCAATAGGGGATCATGGGGCCCACGTGTCCTTGCCCAAACTTAAAAAAGCCTATGATAAAGGTACCAGGGGCATCTCATGGGGCCCCCCGTGCCCGAGTTTCCAAATGGTCAGTCCGCCCCTGTGGGGGGGCCTAAGGTTTTGACTGCCTCCACGGAGTTTAATCCAGAACTGCACACTATCCATTCAATTGGGAGTGCAAGCAACTGTGACAGTTGCCTTGAAGGAACAGTTTTGTGGAAAAATCTGTAGTATAATGCAGTATTTCAGACGGAGGCTTGTTAAGGACAGTGTGAACCATATTTGTTGAAGGGTCTGTAAGAATTACTGTGTTGTTTAAAACAGACTTTCCATTATTAAGAGGATCTTTACTCACTTAAAGTGGTTGTAAACCTCGAACATGAAATATGAATAAAGCATATTCTTCTATAGTGTGTACTTATCTCAATTAGGAGCACTAAGTGACATATCTGTCTGCTGTTTCGTTCCTCTGCTATCAGCATTAATCACTTCTGAAATGTTTTCTTGACACCAAGAGAAACATGGTGACGGGAGGGACCTCCAGCAGATATACATCCTCAGATCTATTCCTGCGAACTGTGTTGAAGTGGGTGTGTCTCTTCCCTCCAATCAGCTCTCAGAGCTCTCCTCACTGCGCTCTGCAGTGTGTAATTTCTCTCTTTGACAAGCTTTATAAATTTAGCAATTTGAATGGATGTAGAGGTTCAAAGAGAGGGAAAAGCACTGAAGATACAGAAGAAATCAGGAAATACTGTATATACATAAACCATCACCATACAGTATTCATACATCATGAAATTTTCCACATTTTGTCATGTTATAACCAAAAATGTAAATATATTTTATTGCGATGTTATGTGATAGACCAACACAAAATGGCACATAATTGAGAAGTGGAAGGATAATGATACATGGTTTTCAAAATTTTTTACAAATAAATATCTGATAAATGTGGCGAGTATTTGTATTCATTCCCCCTTTACTCTGATACCCCTAACTAAAATCTAGTGGAACCAATTGCCTTCAGAATTCACCTAATTAGTAAATAGAGTCCACCTGTGTGTAATTTAATCTCAGTATAAATACAGCTGTTCTGTGCAGCCCTCAGAGGTTTGTTAGAGAACATTAGTGAACAATCAGCATCATGAAGGCCAAGGAACACACCAGACAGGTCAGTGATAAAGTTGTGGAGAAGTTTAAAGCAGGGTTAGGTTATAAAAAAAATACCATGCTTTGAACATCTCAGGGAGCACTGTTCAATCCATCATCTGAAAATGGAAAGAGTATGATACAACTGCAAACCTACCAAGACATGGTTGTCCACCTAAACTGACAGGCTGGGCAAGGAGAGCAGTAATCAGAGGAGCAGCCAAGAGGCTCATGGTAACTCTGAAGGAGCTGCAGAGATCCACAGCTCAGGTATGAGAATCTGTCCACAGGACAACTATTAGTCGTGTACTCCATAAATCTGACCTTTATAGAAGAGTGGCAAGAAGAAATCCATTGTTGAAAGAAAGCCATAAGAAGTCCCGTTTGCAGTTTGCTAGAAGCCATGTGGGGGACACCAGGGGTGTATTTACCACAAGACAAACAAAGCATTTGCCTAGGGCAGCATTTTTCAGGGGGGCAGCACCGCCCCCTGGAAGAAGGGACAGCTGCAGCCTGGGGACCAGGTGGGAGTCAAGAGAGGCTGCGGACTGCTTGATGGTGTATGCAGAGCCCGACCCTCATTCCCAGGGATGTCCAGATTTGTAAAGGTGAGTGACTTTCTCTCTGGGAAGGGGGGGGATGTGTGTTAGTGGAAGGCTCTTTCAGGTAGGGGGGCAGGGGTGTTGTGCTGTTGGTCAATTTTGGGCTCTCTCTGCCAGGGAGGGGTGGTGTCCGATTTTTTTTGTTGCCTAGGGCAGCACAAAACCTAAATACACCACTGGGGGACACAGCAAACATGGAAGAAGGTGCTCTGGTCAGATGATACCAAAACTGAACTGTTTGCCCTAAAAGCAAAACAATATGTGCGGCAGAAAACTAACACTGCACATCACTCTGAACACACCATCCCCACTTTGAAACATGGTGGTATCAGCATCATGTTGTGGTGATGCTGTTCTGCGGGGGACAGGGAGGCTGGTCAGAGTTGATGGGAAGATGGATGGAGCCAAATACAGGGCAATCTTAGAAGAAAACCTGTTAGAGTCTGCAAAAGACTTGAGACTGGGGTGGAGGCTCACCTTCCAGCAGGACAACAACCCTAAACATACAGCCGGAGCTATAAGGAATGGTTTAGGTCAAAGCAGATTCATGTGTTAGAATGACCTAGTCAAAGTCCAGACCTAATCCAATTGAGAATCTGTGGTGAGACTTGAAAATTGCTGTTCACAGATGCTCTCCATCCAATTTGACAGAGCTTGAGCTATTTTTCAAAGAAGAATGAACAAAAATGTCCCTCTATAGATGTGCAAAGCTGGTAGAGACATTCCCAAAAAGACTTGCAGCTGTAATTGTAAAAAGGTGGTTCTACAAAGAATTGACTCCGGGGGGCTGAATACAAATGCACTCTACACTTTCAGATATTTATTTGTAAAGAGGTTTGAAAACCATTTATCATTTTCCTTCCACTTCACAATTATGTGCCACTTTGTGTTGGTCTATCACATAAAATCCAATAAAATCCATTTACGTTTTTGGTTGTAACATGACAAAATGTGGAAAATGTCAAGGGGTATGAATACTTTTTCAAGGCACTGTATATACATATTCTTGATTGCTCTACCAAAACCAATTCCTATAAACACAGACAAGTGCAAAGGCTCCTGAATAGATCCGCACACAAAGACTGGAAGGTGGTTTGGCGGGAAGAGGACCCCCCCCCCCCAAAAAAAAAAGCTGACAATAATGTCCTAGAAATCAATAAAGAGTACATTTATGTTTAAGTACTTCAATTGAAGTACCTTAAATATAAAATCTTTATTATTATTGTACAGATTTATATAGCGCCAACAGTTTGCGCAGCGCTTTACAAAATGAAGGTAGACATTACAGTTACGATACAATATGAAAAGAAATTTACAAAAACACTGGTTTTAGATAAATTCATAACAATATACCCCCGGATTTCAGGCATATAAAGGTCATTATACATATCAACAACAAACTTTATTTGCCACAATTCGTCAACGCATTTCAATTGATATACACAATCTTCATCAGGGGGTATCAGGGGTACCCACATACAAAAAGAGCGGAACAGGGGCGGACTGACAACTCATGGGGCCCCCGGGCAATAGGGGATCATGGGGCCCCTGTGTCCTTGCCCAAACTCAAAAAAAGTCTATGAAAAAAGGTACCAGGGGCATCTCATGGGGCCCCCTACTGACCCTGGGCCCTCAGGCACTTCCCGAGTTTCCAAATGGTCAGTCTGCCCCTGGAGTGGAAAAACATGCTGCCTTAAATCACTCTAACAATATTTGACAATTCGGTGAGGCATAACATGAATTTATGGATTTCCACAATACCAGAATAAGTAAGAAGCTGCCTAGGGGATCCCAATCAGCACAAAAAGTCCCCACACCAGAGTCCTCTCTAGGGGCCAAGGTGACCCACCACGGCAATTTGGGGTGAGCAGCTCTCCACAGCAACTTAATGTGGAGCGCCACCCAAAAGGGGACTTTCCGTTTTAAAGACTGGTCCCCCGTTGCCCATTAAGGAATGGTACCTTTTGGGAGTGGGGGAGGGTGGGGGAGCAGGTACCTGGACAGGAAATTAACAGGTACCTGCTCCCACTTCCACTGTGATCACCTAGGTGATCAGAAGCAGAAGTTGTCCTCCTACCCTCCCTCCCCGAAGTCTTCTGGGACACATGACAGGTTCCAGTAGACGACGGGGCCATTCAGGAAGTGCAGCTCTACTCTTAAAAACCAGACGGCTGCGGGGAGGACACCGTGGGATTGAGGGACAGGTAAGTGGCTGTTTTTTAAAAGTCAGCAGCTACAGTTTTTGTAGTAGCTGACTTTTATTTTTTCACAGTGCGACTGGAGCTCTGCTTTAAGGGTCCTTTCACACAGGCGTTCCGTTTTTTTCATCAGTTCAGTCACGGTTTTTTCAAAGAAAAAACGGATCAATTTTTCATCAGTTTACATCAGTTTCTCATCAGTTTTTACTTCAGTGTTTTACATCCTTTACTAATGCAAAAAACAGATGCAAAAACGGACCTTATGTCTTTTCACATCCGTATTTTGTCTGTTCCATTTTTTTTTAACGGAAGAAAAATAGGGTTTTCTTCCGTTCAAAAAAACGAATGCGGACATTACCGGATGTAAACAGATGATCATCCATTTACATCCATTAGTCCATAGAAATACATGGGTGTCCATTTTTCAGCAGATGAAAAGTGGACATATGGAACGTCCGTGTGAAAGGACCCTAAAGCTAGGTTCACATCTGTGTGGGTGGTGCCGCTGCGGATCTGCACAAAAATCTGTGCAGCCGCTCCACCCGCACAGAGGAATTCAGACCTGCGGGCGGGTGCCATTAATTTTAATGGTAAGCCGCCCACACTGGAAATAGAAACCGTACTGGGAACCAAGGTTCCTGTGCGGGCTGTGTTTTCAGGAGAAGTGCAGGGACTTCTTCCCTGCATGTTTTTTTTAAATGTTTTCCTGTGCTGTTACAATAATTATTTAACACTACATGTGGAAACACGACATGCTGCTTATTCCTTTGGAAATTAAGTTGTTAGCAAGTCAATTTTAATTGCAATTTCAAACCAATATTTTACCATGTTAACCCCTTTATGCCCCAGTATGTGTGATGGCGAAAAGCTGGCCTCTAAAGCCCACGTGTCGCTGGGTGGGCAATGTTTATGTGCTGGGAGCATGCTCCCTGTGCACTCCCAAAACAAAGATTGAGCTGCTGAAAATGGCTCTCAATCCCAAGAAAACA